TCGTCGCGCGAGACGCTGTCATGGCGGACGGTTGCTTTTTGTTGAGCTTGTTTGCGCAAAGAAAGCAGGTGGTCGTGAAAAAGATTCTGAAGTGACGGAGCAGTTTGAGGTGGACGAGGCGCGGGAAGGGCCAGAAAAAAGGTGGGACGCGTGGGCGGTGACTGACCAACCAGATGCGCTCATTAACCTTCCCCGGCCTGCTGGTTTTATAGTGTTTTACAGCACCTTGGTCCGTACCTTGCCTGCTTGATCCAGCCACCAGGTCTGCTGTGCAGGTCGGTCTGCCCACTGCCCCGATCGGTGCATTACTCGCCCACTGGCCGTTTGCACCTATGCATCCGGCACTTTGGCAATGATAGCATGGGGTGATGCAAATCCCTGGTCAACATCATCAACGCCTCGGTGAATTCAACGAGACCAAAGTATGCCATAAATCTTCTTGAATGTATGAGATTCCGTCTACATAATGCACTACGAAGCATCCGCTCCCAACCGACCCGCAATCCTTCCCAATGTCTTCTTCTGCGAACTTTGCCAGCACTAGTGGGACCATTGTACACCACAACTGAGGAGTCGGCATGTAGAGTGGTGCAAAGCGACTTTGTCTGAATTTCGACTCATGACGAACTTCCCATTTACTGCCGGATGGACGCTCCCATAAATGAAACCCTATAGCAGAAATGCAGCGCATAAAAACTGATCGACTCCAAAATGATGAAGGGGGAGGTTGGGAAAACGGCCCAAAAAAAGGAATCCCTCCTTTGCAAAAACGATAATCATCCTTTCTCGAGATGTTACACAAACACGCAATTTCCCCATTCTACAACTTTAACAGGCACATCCCTCCTTCGCCGCCGCATCCCTTGAGCCCGTGAGGTTGACCCGTTGCTGGTCCTCTGCGCCACGGCTCACGGCGTGCGATGCGCCCGGACCCCGCGCGCTCTTCAACGACGTCTCGGGAATGGCGTTGGCGATGGCCGTGAAGACCTCGGTGACGTTGTGGCCCGTCTTGGCACTGGTCTCGAAGAAGAGCAGACTCTCCTCCTCGGCGTACGTCTTGGCCTCCTCCGTCGAAACCTTCCTAGCGTCGCCAGAGTCCTCTCCGTCGGCCTCCTCGTTGTCGCCGGCGGATCCGGTCTCGGCGTCGTTTGTCAGATCGAGCTTGTTGCCGACGAGGGCGATGACGATGCCCGGCGAGGCCTGTCGTTGGAGTTCCGCCACCCAGTGCTTGGCCTTGACGAGTGACGTGGGCTTCGTGAGGTCGTAGACGACGAGGGCGGCCTGGGCATTGCGATAGTACATGGGCGCCAGCGAGGCGAAGCGCTCCTGGCCGGCGGTATCCCAGATCTCGAACTTGATTGTCCGGGTCGGTAGGTTGCACTTTTGTGTTAAGAAGGCGGCTGCAAGGGGGCGAGAGGAGTGGACAGGTTAGCTCTTTTTCGCTCTCAAACGGACTGGTCTTGTCCGCGATGGCAACGGCAGCGGTTCGTACCTCCGATGGTGGGCTCCTTGTTCTCCTGGAAATCGTTGTTGACGAAGCGCAAGACAAGCGATGACTGCGATGCTGTTTAGCAAGAAGGTCTGATGTTGGGTTCGGATGGTGGTGGCCGCACCTTTCCTACGGCAGCTTCACCGAGCAGGACCAGCTTGACGCTGCTGCTCGGCTTCGGGGCACCGCCGGATCCGTCCATCTTGTCCTCGGTAATTCAGGTCGATAACAATAGCCGGTTTCTTTTTTCCTTCAAGGTAGTCTTGCGATTTGAGTCGTAGGAAAATGATGCGAAGTTTCGGTTCGGATGGAAGCAGGGACGCACGAAAGTTGTAAGTTGCTGCCTTCGCGATGAGTATGTGGGTGGTTGGATGGTTTTCGTAGCGGTAGGTAGGCCAGCAGCTTGGCCACTGAAACGACGGGTGTGGTGAGGCGCAACAATGACGAAGCGCCCCCCGGCGCCGCTGGCCAATGCTCTCTCCCTCGCACCTCAGCTTCACCTGGCACGCCTGGCAATGACCTGAGTTGGAGGGGCGGCGGAGAATCGATGCGCCGGTGTCCGCATCCATGGGCGGGCCCCGCCAAGATTCCCACCCTGTGCAGGGGCCCTTCAAACAGCCTGCAGCAGCTTACTGGGCTAAGCGGCAGAAAAAAAAAGTTGCTTGACCACCTTTGAGATCTTCGATTTTGGAGGGTCCCGTTCCGCGACTTGCAAGACTTCACTTCCTTCGTTTGTCTCTCATTTGCGACGAAGCGTTTTGCACATAGAATTCCTACTCCAGAGGAATAAACTTTGTCAAGATGGCACCGGAAACCAAGAAGGAGAAAGCTCCCAAGAAGGTCAACCTTTTGGACGACAGCGACTCGGACAGCGAAGATGGAGGGGCAGACATCGCGGCGCCGACGCTGAAGGTCAACGAGGAGTACGCCAAGCGCTTCGAGCACAACAAGAAGCGCGAGGAGATGCACAGACGTAGGTTCAGTTCAATTGATTGTTGTCTCTAGCACATTATGAGAAGCAGCATTCTAACAAAGGTGGCTACCACCTAGTCGAGGAAAAGTTCAAGAAGCCCGGCAAAGGCAAGCAGGCCGATGACGACGACTCTGACGGCGACTCGTCCTCCTCAGACGAGACCGAAGACGAAGACGGCTTCCTCGCGACCGAGGATCTGGACGCTCAGATCTCCGCCACCCTCAGCGCGATCAAGAACAAGGACCCTCGCGTCCTCGACAAGAACTTTTCCTTCTTCCCTGAGGCTGCTGCTGCCGCCGCCGCCGCCGCCGCCGGCGAGGCCACGCCCTCCAAGACGAAGAAGGAGAAGCCCATGTTCCTCAAGGACTACCACCGCGAAAAGATCCTCGCAGGCGGCGTCGGCGCCTCGGACGATGAGGACGACGATGCACCCGCCCCGCCACAGACGTATAACCAGGAACAGGACGCCCTCAAAAAGTCCATCATCTCGGAAATTAACAAGGCTGCCGACGGCGGCTCCGACGACGAGGAAGATGGCGAGGACTTTGTCAAGCGGAAACCGGGACAAAAGGTCGCCAAGATTGCAGATGGCCCCGCCGTCGACGGCGTGCACCCGGCCCGCGCGGCGCAGGTGAACAAGAAGACCAAGAAGCAAATCACCGAAGACGACATCAAAAACGCGGACCGCGACCCAGAGCTCTTCCTGTCCAACTTCATGGCGGCCCGCGCCTGGACCGAAGGCGGCGAACACAACTGGAAGGCCTTTGACTCAGACGAGGGCGAGGGCGACGAGGGCGAGCTCTACGACAAGTTCGAGGAGGCCTACAACCTCCGCTTCGAGGACCCTGCGAAATCAAACGCTGCGCTCAAGACCTACTCGCGTGAGATTGTCAGCGCCCGCTCCGTCCGCAAAGAGGCCGCCACCGCGCGCCGCAAGCAACGCGACGCCGAGCGGGAGAAGAAGGAGGCCGAGAAGGCGGAACGCAAGGAGGAGAAGGCCAGGCTGCGCAAGCTGAAGCTCGAGGAGGCCGAGGAGAAGCTCAAGAAGATTAAGCACGCTGCTGGACTGAGGGGCGAGGAGCTCAAGGACGACGAGTGGTTGCGCTTCCTGAACGACGCGTGGGACGACGACCGGTGGGAGAGCGAGATGAAGCGCCGGTTCGGAGAGGACTATTACGCCGAGGTCGAGGGCGGCGCCGAGTCGGACGACGACGAAGAAGAGGCAGAAGACGGCAAGAAGAAGAAGAGCAAGCCCAAGAAGCCAAAGTGGGACGACGACATTGACATCAACGACATCATCCCCGACTTCAAGGACGACACGGAAAACCCGCAAATCACACTCTCAGACGACGAGGGAGCAGCAGGCGCAGCAGCAGCAGCCGAGGACAACGAGTCCAACGACTCGGACTCAGACTCCCGCCCCTCCAAAAAGCGCAAAACCACAAAAGACCTCAAAAAAGACCGCCTCTCGGCCAAAAAAGCAGCAAAGCTCCAACGCGCCAAGCTCGAAGCCCTCGTCGACGCCAAAATGGACCTCGACGTCGTCGACGTCCCGGGCGCGTCCTCCTCCCACAAATCCGCCACCGAAGCCGCGGCCGCCAACGAGGTCCCCGCCTTCCGCTACCGCGAGACCTCCCCGCAGGCCTTTGGCATGACGGCCCGCGACATCCTCCTCGCGCCCTCGGACGCGGCGCTCAACAGCTTCGCCGGCCTCAAGAAGCTCGCCACCTTCCGCGACCAGGACAAGAAGCGCAAGGACAAGAAGAGACTGGGCAAGAAGGCGAGGCTCAGGCAGTGGCGGCGGGAACACTTTGGTGAAGAGTTTGAGAGGACGGGACCGACGTTCGGGTTGGAGGATGTGGAGCTCAAGGAGAAGAAGGGGCGCAAGAGGGGTGCGAAGCGTACTGCTGCCGCTGCCGCTGAGCAGAAGCAGCATGAAGAAGGAAAGGGAGAGGAGGACGTCGAGGATGGTGGTGCTGCGCTTGATGGCGGGAAGAAGCGGAAGAGGTCTAGGGGGAAGAAGAAGGCTGATGAGGGTGTTGCCGCTGAGTGAGTAAGGAAAGGGAGTTGTGCATATTGTTGTTTTCTTCTTGTCATCATTGAGAGGGTACCGAAAAAAAAGTTAAGTTTGCTTAGACCACAACGATACCATGTACAGATTTGGTTCTCCCGGGTTGTAAATTTTACATCAAAAGTTATCTATCTACAGTAATTGAGGGGCACGTCAAAATAATTTGTAGAATCCTTTTTTTTTGATACTTTTGCATTAAGAGTTTGATGATAGTGGTATCTCACAAGAAGAAAATGTGCTGGAAAAAATCGCTAAGCTAAGACCGCGTAAGATTTTTTCTCCTTCTCCCCCCTTTCTCCCGTCCATGTTCCCGTGTCATGCCATGCCCATCCGTCTTTTTGCCATCATATACGTCATAAACTTGGAAAAGAAAAAATGGAGGAGGAAATTCTCCGAGGCAAGATGTACAATGCAAAGTTAATACAATGCTCAGGGGGGGTGGCAGACAGATACCTCTACAACAAAGCTCATCGTGCTCCGTGATGCAACCCGCTGCCAAACATGTTGCCGAACCCGTCAATGTTCATACCCATGTCCTGCCCGATCTCGGGCGGCTCCATGTTAAACGGCATGAACCACGCCGTCGACGCCTCCTGGCCTCCGAACCCCATGCCCTCCCCGTGTCCGTGGCCGGGCCCGCCCATGCCATTGGGACCGCCGCGCGAGGGACGCGAGCGGGCGCCGTCTCTGTGCGCTCCCGGTGCGCTGTGGGCGCTACTCGGCATGCCGTCCCAGTCGATGCCGTCAAAGTGGCTCATGTTGCCCTGTTCCATGGAGTACCCGCCAAACACGAGCTGCCGGTCCAGAGGCTGCAAGATGCCGTTTTGTTGATTCATCGACATGTTGAGCAGGTCGGGAGAGAAGAATGACGGTGTGCCCGGGTGGTGGTGCCCATACTGGCTAACGGCGATGGGGCTGATGGGAGATAGGGCGTGGTAGTTGGAGCCTTGCGAATGCGGCACGGTGAGGGGGTTGAAGCTCGTCGGCCCGCTGGTCTGGCCGCCGAGCGAGCCCTGCTGTATGCCTCTCTGTTGTTGCATGCGGGCGCTCAGTTGCTCTTGCGCCGTGGCAGCAACGTTCTCGGTGGAAAGTGGTTCCAGCTGGCTTCCATCTGCTCTCATGCCCGGAGTGCCGAGTTTCTTTCCGACAAAAGATTTCCGCTTGAGCGGGTTGGGTCTGGACGAATTGCCTTCTGTGCTACGAGGTGGCGACAAACTCGTAAAGTATTCCTCGACGGTGTGCAGTTCTGGCTTCTGCTCTAACACGGCGTCGTCGCCCTTCTCCTTCTTCTTCGTAGATGCCGGGTCGGAAAAGTCGGATTGTGAAACGCCGTGGGGGTATCGGTCGAACCAGTCGCCGTACTGGAAGATGGGAGAAGCCGTTGACGTCTCCTTTGTCGAATTGCCTTGTCTGGCGGCATCTGCGTATGTCCGATATTGCTCGCGGAGGTTCTCAGACATGTAGTGGAACATACCCCAATACCTCTTCATCTTTGAAAGAAACTTGACATTTGTCGCCAGGTTTCGTTTCGATGCTGCCTCAATGGCAGGATTGCCAGAGAAGATGCCGAGTATGTGGATCGTCCCAGACGAAAAGGCGCAATAGCCGACAAAGGGGGCAGTCACCATGTGAGACTCGGCGTCTTTGAGAACCTCGGAAATCTTGTTGGCGGCTGCAAAAGTCTTGTCACCTGCCTTGGCGACAAACTCCCGAGGAACGCCTTGCGCAGCGGGGCTGTTTGGCGTTGAAACGGCAACTCGGTTGAGAAACAGAACGTTTTGCTGCATCGCGATGTGGAGGAACAAGAATTGATTCGCCATCTTTTCCGTGTCGTGGAGCGCGACATTCTCGGGTGAGTAGCGGAGGAATTCTGGAAGGTTATCGAGCAAATCTTCGGACTGCTGCAGCAATTTGGTGTATTCGGATTCGGGGCTCCAGATAGGATGGGGGTCGAGCTCCTTTCCTCCTTGGTTCAAATAGTTGATGACTCTACCCCATAGAGAGATGGTCTTGATCATATGAGCGGCAACGCCCATGTTATCTTTGGCGTCGGCCATTTGGCCATCCTCCGCAGACACGGGATGGGGGACCTTGCCTTTGAGGGTTTCCGTCGGTGCCGGCATATCGAGCTGGAAATATTTTTCCTTGATCGGTAGAGGAATTTCAATCGTCTCTTCCCTCACAAACGTAGGCCGTTCGGTACCGGAGGAGTTGAACCGGTCCATGAGGAAGCATGCCCACATCGTCCGGCGCCGGATCTCACGGTCAATGAAACTCAGCTGAGATGCTCCGCTGCGGTTCAGGGGATCGTGATCCAAGTCCTTGTGAAGTTGTAGAGCAAACGCCATACGAATTGCTTGGCCTCCTAGAGCCCAGCTCCTACCGCCATGGCATGTACCAAATTCGTGGAGGCCGAGGATAAGCAGACATGTTAGAATCGTGATGTTGGGCCACTCATATCGCCTGGTGCAGATATCCCGGGCATGCGACGCCCACTCCTCTCCACGCAGAAAGTTTGGTGATGCGTTGTTGAGTTTCGGGTGGCTGGAAAAGCGGGCGGCTATCGCGCAAACGGACAGTATGAGTACTGGCGGAAGCGTGCCAGCTCTGCATTCTCCAAGTCAGCACTGAAGTAGTATCACACTCTCACAAGAGAAACATACCTGAGTTTTCTCATGTAACTGGGCTTGTGGAGTAGGTGGTATGCTTGACCGTAAATGTTCTCGAAAAATACCTCGGCTAAATGTTCCTGGATTTCTTTGGACGGAAGTGCATCGAGCCCCTCCAGGAAGAGCTTGTTCTCCTCCGCTTCCTGCGCTTGCAAGGACAAGTTCTTATTTGGCGTATCAATTCTCGTCTTGGCCGGCGCTTTTGCCCAGTGGTCGAGATCCTGGCCGAATGCTTCGTCGGCAACTCGCTTCTTGGAGTTGGCCTTAGCCGCGGGGAGGGATCCCGGAATTGCCGGTTTAACCACGGCGCGGGTCAGCGACACCGCATTGGAGTCTTGTTCGTTCTTGGGCACAATTTTGATGATGCGCTCCTCCATGCGCTTGAGTCGCTTGTCCAACATGGCCATATAATCGGTCCTTGGCGCGGCTTTTCTCGTTGTCACCTTGTACACGCAGGGAATCCGAGATCGAAGGCAATGCTTGCACGCCGGTTTTTCTCCCGAACATCGAATCTTTTTACGTCGGCATGCGATGCACGCTAGAGGAAGTCGCTTTCGTTCTTTGCCGGCCTTGGTCTTCAACTCGCTCCATGCGGGCGTCTGATCTGTCTTGTCGTCCTTGGATTTCCCGCCTAGATCGGAACCGTTACCGGCGATTTGCGTAGGTAGACCAAACTCATCGGCACCGGCATCCTCGAGTGGATTGTGCTCGGCGTGGCCGCTGTCCTGGCTGCCATCTTCCGAGGTAATAATGCTGTGGCGGCGCTGGTTCATGGCCTGCGCAAAACCGATAGGCATGACTGTTATTGAGTTCTGGCGGCCACCGATGGAAGAGACGGAGGGGCGATGCGAGGTCGGGAACATGTCGGCAGCGTGATCTGGTTCGCCGAGGAACATCATTGCGCTTTGGTCGTCCAGCGGGTTCGGAGGGAAAGAAAAGTCGTCGGCAAAGTGAGAAGCATCGACGACGCTGTGGTTCGCGCTGTTGGACCGCATACCGTCATTTGGGGTTCCGGAGGAGAAGGGTTGGTGGGACGCTGAGGAAGTGGTTATATGAGAATGGGCGCCGGGCGAGTCGAGAGCGTGGGCGTGGGCGTGAGCGTGAGCGTGCTGCTGCGAATACTCGAGACTGACAGCTCTGAGTTGTTGGCTTTGGAGCTGCTGCAGGCTAGATGACATTGTCCTTTGTCATGCACGAATCAAGGGAATGATCAACGGACAGGCGACAGTGGAAGAAGACGGTGCCGAGCGAGCTGGCAAGCTGGCTCCCCGCACAACGCCGGCGCTGAGGACGGCGTTTGTCCCTGTCCCTGTTTATGGCTTTGGACCGCGGTCGCCGGTGTAAGTGTGAGTTGGAGCAGTGGGGGAAGAGGGTCACAGCGGTCGCAAGGAAGAGGCACCAGACGGCGGAAAGACTCGGCGATGGTGATTGATGTTGATGTTGAAGGCCGAGGAATATTCAATCCGGTCGCGTGCGCACGTTTCTTGGCCGTCGAAGATGATATTGTCGTCTTGTCTAGTGTTCTCGAAAGAATAAGAAGGGGAATGTTCCACAAAGCTGATGACAGTAACACAAAGTTAAGAAAGAACCGGGACTGGATGGGTGGGCGGGGGGGCGGAGAGGAGAAGAGGCGTCTGGTCGAGATCTGTCGGAGAAGAGGAACTCTGACTCGGCCACTCAGTGACCAGCAAATAGAGAATAAAAAATAAATAAAAAAGACAACCTCCTACCAGAGACACAGAGGGGCGCAAGACTGGGTCTAGGTCTAGGTCAAGGTCCAGGTCTACATAGGTCGTCAAGGGAAAAAAAAAAAAAAAAAAAACCAAACCAGCGGAGCAGATTTGTGATGCTCACTGCTTAGAGAGGAGAAAGATGGGTGATGGGGAATGTCGCCGGCTTGTTCGTGCAGCAAAAACTGGGGTTGGGGAGGGACGGCCGGGGAGGGGGAGGGGGCGTCGCACAGAGAATGGAAGGATGTAAAGGGGGGGTGTGGTAATCGGCGACCTGTGATTGACTGGGAGGGCCGCGGATGCACCAATCCAAGTGGGCGCAGCTGTGGAGTTGCAGGCGTGTGTGTGTCCACTTCCAGGCGCGGAGGCGTGCACTGCACGGCGTGCAGGTGGGAGAAGAGTTGGAGACCTTTTTTCCCACACTTCTTGTTGAACTTCTCAGCACCGCTGCTGCACTGTACCGCACCTCAACTTGCAGGCGACTCAAGCAATGGGATCGGAAGCGTTTTCGGCGGTCAAATTGTGGGGTGCCGTAGATGCGTGGATACTTCGCTGGAACACGGCCGGGGGAGTTAGGCGGGTGATGCTGTGACGGTCGTCGAGGTCACTTGAGATGTGCGTCTGTCGTCTGCGTCTGCGCTTTCTTTAGTATCTATCCGTAAGTTGTATATTTGGTTTTGCGAAGTGCACACTCAATGTAGCCAAGGTGCACTCTGTAGGCTCGGTAAGTACCGTACTCACTCACCTCTGACTTTCTCTCTCTTTCTCTCTCTCTCTACCTCTTCCAACCTAGGTATTTCGCATACGATACTACTTCTGTGGCGTTTTCAACCGAGGCTTTTCCCCTCTATTCAATTCGCTGGCAAATAAGGTTCTGCTGTTGCTGCTCCTTCTGGAATCTGGTCAGGGGGTGTCTCTTGGGCCTGCTGCTTGTTGATGCTGACAGAATGCTCACAGCAGTGCTGACTGTTCCAACAATGGGGTCTTTTTACTCAGGCACGGCCCAAGGAAAGAATACCTAGCGATCCCCGTCGTCCTCCACGGTGGGGCTGTGTCCCTCTCTTGGTTTGAATGTGGACTCTCTTGCCTCGTCTCGTGATTTCCAGATGAGGGACCAGATGCCCAGAAACCTTATGTACACAATAAGGTAGTCCAGCCGCAGGCGATGTATCTGTACCAATTCAACCTCTCCTTGGCAACTCTCGCCGCGGGATGAATGTGCGTATGGGTGGCTAGTCTGTCGGACGTCGTATACCAAGTTGATTGATATGTTTGTCTTCTTCTGGTGGCTTGTCGGGCTGCCCAAGTGTGTGATGCTGTGGAATTGCAGAGCGGAGAGTACGGATACTTTGCCATGTACAGCACTAGAGGCTTGAGGTGGCTGTGGCTTTGACCGTGGGAAGATTTGTTCCGCCCTTTCACACTGACACTCAGTGACAAGTGTTGGCTTGGATCAAGTCGAAAAGTCGAGCTAGTATAACCGAGAACAATAAACTGTAAAAGTGTGACGTGTGTGAAGATGTGCGGGCGATGCGTCCAAGATCTGCCAAGCTTTTCAAGCGCGCAGGAGATATCCGTCATGCCGTACGGAGTACTGCGTAAGGTAGGTCTTCGTTCCAACCCAATTGAGACTGGGCGTGGGGCTTTATAACAATGGTTTGAGCTACGGATAGGAAGCCTGCATAACCAGATACGAAGTACATACAGTTCTGCAAAGTGAGAGCCAACTTCATCGAGATACGACAGCATCTGAGATGCTGTAAACATCTCACAGCCAGGACTGAACTTCCCTTACAAACCGCACAACACCTACACTGCCAGCATCAACCAGCCCAGTCCCTGCAACGCGACTCAAGTGTCTCGTATGTCCATATGCCTGTATGAAAACGGGAGGGTTTGGAAGCTCCGGCAGGGTGAATAGGACAAATGTGGGAGATAGACCGAGGTTCCATATCGAGGTCAGACATTTTTGCCAGATATGAAGGGCGCGCGGCAACAAAAAAACAAAGGCACAACCCAGCTCGTCTCTTCCATAGTAAACACACGCCCACCAACAACATGGTAATACCTGAAAAATAGACTTCCAGCGTCAAGTCCCTGAGGTTGGCATGGACGTTACATTCAGCGGCCCAACGACAAACATGCCTGGTTGTATGATCGATACCCCGATTCACTGTAGCCAACGAACGCATCGACTGTACTCCGTACCTAGTCCATTTGACTCAACGTCCACGGCGATGGACAATGGATATCAATGAGCTGTTTGCGATCCTCGTAAGCACAGTTGTCGGACCGCGTTCGGACAGCAGTTGTTCCTGCACTCGCCTCGTCGGCCATGAACAGACCCAGATTGATCATCGCGTCTCTCCAACCAATTCGATCCAGGCACGGCCAGAGTCTTCGATGGTTGAGTTCTCGCCGACTCTGGTCTAGCACTCTAGGTAGCTAGCTAGGGCTGCCCCTTGATTTTCTGGTGGTGGCCGCTGCAGATGCAAGGTTCTCCAATGCCATCCCAGCCCAAGACCCACGATGGCAGTGCGAACAGAAGTGGATACCTCCTCCACCACAAAGTGGGTGGGAGCCGGGGGTCACTGGATATCCACGCCATAATGTGGGACCGAGAAGTCGAGGGGGGGGGGGCCTGGGGCACGCGCCTAATCAGGGATGAATCGGGGGGATCAAGTGGGAGAGCCGGAAGCCCAGTGGATCCGCAACCAGAGGCAACTTCCGAGACTCTCTCGGTGCGAGTGGGTACCTATGCGCCGTGCCCAGACTAAAATACTAATGTACGAGGATGTCATGATATTCTGGTGAGCCGTTGACATTGACCAATTTCTGTCGAGTCTGTAAAGACATGGGTATCGAATTAAATCCAGAGAGAACGAGTTCGACTGTGCGATTCTTCGTGGTGTGGCATATGTCGTTGAGGCGCGGACGGGGAATAAACGTTCCGGGTGCCAAGCGTGTGTAGAATCCAGAGGTCCGCCGTTGCATTTGGTGGCATGCCGTGGTCTATCCAGACATATTCTTAGCCATCGGTTTGGTATGAGTATTACAGCCGCATTCCAGCAGCGAGCTAGACAGAAAACCAACGTTTGGCGAAGAAACGGGATAGACACTCGCCGTTCTATGAATGGTGCATCGACGATATCGTAAACACCATCCCATCCTAAGGGGTATTAGCAGGTGATCTTACGGCCATGTGTGTCCGCCGCAGAGAGGCATTCCAAGAGGGATCATGGAAGGTTGGCCGCCTGCGGCTGATCCCCTGTAACCCTACTACGGTACTACCGTGCTTGGGGCCTCAAATATGTGGTGGAATCTCATCCTCGTCACGTCAGTGTCTACACCGTTGCTTGTGTTGCATCTCTTAGCAAAGTGCCAAAGAAGGCCGCCGTCAACCTGCCATGGCTTACCTAGTCGGCCGTGGGTTCCACCAGGAACGGTCACAGCAGGGCGGCAGCGGCCAAGGGACCCCGGAGACGCACCAGGAGCCAGCACTGCAAGCCTGCATCGGTTTGGCCTTGATCCGTGTTTGTTCGGGCTGGCCCAGACCACCCTGCAGCCCTGGTGCCTCGCCTGCTGCAGATTCACAGTCAAGTGTGGTGGATTCTCGTCGACGACGACCGGATCTGTACGGGATGGCGCCCCGATTGCGACCCCTGTAGCCAGTACTTCTTGTTTAGACAAGACTTGAATTGAGCTCTGAGAATATCTGGCGAAGGAGGAAAAAGTACGAAGCCTCTGAAGAGCCACTAGCTCGGGTTTCAGCGGCGCCAACGGAATGGGGCGTAGGGATAGGCGTAGGTAGAGGCGCAAGTAAATCATCTTTGGCTGGTTGTTTGGTTTGGCCGAAGTTGGATCGTGGGACTACCTAACACATTGAGGCACACCTTGAGCTCCAAGCGTAGCATCTGAGAAGCCCCCGTACATGGTTGCTTGGTTCCTTTTTCGACGTGTGTATTCGGTTCCAGCATTTCTGGGTTTGAACATCTGGATTGGAGATGGAACCCAAGGGTGATCTTCCTGAGGGCCGGGGGGTTCAGGTGGTGCAGAGGACGTCATTCGACCAAACCAGGGACGGGGTAGCTCCAGTCCTTCTAGAGCGCTGCGTATGGTCACGACGGGTCAATGTTGCCAGCACTTTAAGATACGGATCTCCGAGCAGAAAAGCTGGGAAGCAAGAATCGAAGTCATGTTGGCTTTGGGCTGAAGTCTGAAGAACGGCTTGGGCCTGAGCCAACGAGGGTGAGGATGAGGCGTACCGATTTCATCAGAGTGGCGGATCATCTGGAGCGGTCGAAATTCGGGGTTGACAAGACAAGTTGGAGAAGAGGACCGGATGGGGATGGAGCAGGTAGATCGTGATAATATCCGAGCGTTGATAGGAGGGAAGGATTCTGGTGGAGGGTTGTGAGGGTTGGGGTGTCTGTGTTTGTCTGTCACTC